AGAGGGAAGAGGAGTTCAGGGGAGGATGGGTAGGAGTTGGGTGGTGGGTTGGAGGGAGAGGGGAGAGGGGATGAGGGGAGGATGGGTGGGAGTTAGGGTTGGGGGGGGGAAGGGAGGAGTTAAGGAAAAAGGGTTGGTGGGTGGGGTGGAGTGGTGTTTGAGGCAAAGGTTGGTGGGTGGAATCATAGGCCTTCCCCTTCCCCTTCCCCTTCTCCTTCCCCTCCCCTCCCACCCACCCAGGTAGGGGCGGAGGCTGAGAAACCACGAGATTGACTGATAACCGAATCCTCAAAAGCTTGGGATTCCAAAGGAGGAGGAGGGGGGGGGACCTTAAACTCTTCCAGGAGAGGGAGAGGGAGAGGAAGAGAGAGAGAGAGAGAGAGAGAGAGAGAGAGAGAGAGAGAGAGAGAGAGAGAGAGAGAGAGAGAGAGAGAGAGTAGAGAGAGAGAGAAGAGAGAAGAGAAAGAGAAAGAGAGAGAAAAGAGAGAGAAAGAGAAAGAGAAAGAGAAGAGAAAGAGAAAGAAAGAAAGAAAGAAAGAGAAAGAAAGGAAAGAGAGATAGAGAGGAGTAGGGGGGGGGTTATTTGCTGTGTGTATTTGTGAGGAGTAATTTGTCAGGAGTAATGGCTGGCTGTTGATGCGAGTGTTTGTTCAGGGTAATTGTTAGGTGTGTGAGTGTGTTTGTTTGTTTGTTTGTTAGAAATGCATTTGTTACGAGTTTGCGTTATAAGCTAGGAGTAATTACTGAGGAGTATTTGTTAGGAGTATTTGTCAGGGAATATATGTGTCTGATTGACTGTTTTGTTAGTATCATTTATAAGGAATATCTGTTTTCATACATGTTTTTTTTTTGTAAATCTCGTTATATCATTTGTTAGAATTATTTGTTATTTTTTATTCGGATCATTTTATTTATTATCAGGAGTCCTTGCTCGGATTGTACATTAGGATTCTTTAAAAGGATTTTTTGCTAGGAATCCTAAACAGGATTATTCAATAGGATTATTCGTTAAGATTCTTCAAAAGGATTTTTCATTAGGATTTTTTACTGAGTCCCAGTTAGGATTAGGATTCTTTCATAGGATGTTTCTCTAGGATTATTTACTAGGATTCCTGATTAGGATTATTCGCTAGGATTCTTCGCTACGAGCCGGGAACGGAAAGGATGTGATATCCCCGCCGAGGCCACGATTTACCGGCCGCCCATGTCAAGGTTGGGCGAGGCAGGTGTTCTGAAATAACAGGCAAGGCGGCGAAACATGTGTTCTCTGCGCAGGTGTTATTGCCCCTTTCATCTCCCCCCCCTCCTCCTACCCTCCCGCCCTCCCCTCCTCTCTCTCTCTTTCTCCCTTTCTCCCTTTCGCTCCTCCTTCTACTTCTCTAGCTTTCTTTTCTTTCCCTTCCCTCTCTCTCTCCCTCTCTTCTTGTCTTTCCTCTCTCTTTCTCTTCTTCTTCTAGCCCACCCTCTCCTGTTCCTTTCACCCTTCACCCTTCTCCCTTTCGCAATCATCCCCTTCTCCTACTCCCCCTCTCTCCCTCCTCCCCTCCCCCATCCCCCCTACCCCACCCCATCATCACACATACCAGTTATATGTTACTTTCTCATAAAAAAAAAAAACGAAAAAAGAAGAAGACAAAAAACAAGAAGAAAAATGAGGCTAAAAAAACAACAACAGCAACAACCCCACATCATAAACAAGCCATAGATGCGCAAGCAACATGGCGCATGATACACGAAAGATGCAACATGGTGCAACACGGGCGGCGTCCTCTGATCTCAGCAGGTGTCGACCAAAGACCATCACCACATCACTTTATATCAGCACATAAACATCAGAGGCAAGTGGATGTACACCGAGAGAGGGGGAGGGAGGGGAAGGGGGGGAAATGGGGAGGAAGGGGAGGGATGGAGAAGGATGGGGGTGAAAGGGAGGGAAGAAGGGGAGGGATGAGAAGGGGAAGAGAGAGGAAGAAGAGAGAGAGAGAGAGAGAGAGAGAGAGAGAGAGAGAGAGAAGAGAGAGAGAGAGAGAGAGAGAGAGAGAGAGAGAGAGAGAGAGAGAGAGAGAGAGAGAGAAAGAGAGAAAGAGAAAGAAAGAGAGACAAAGAGAAAGAAGAGAACGAAATAGAGAGAGAGATGAAGAAAAAACAGAGAAAAAGAAACACAGAACCCCAAACACACACACACACAGACAAACAAAATCAAACACCACCACCACCAGAATCCAAGGCAATGGCCACTGTACCTGGGCCTACGGAAGTAAGTAGGCCTAGTCACAAATTACACGTGTTGGCAGGGGGGAGTGGGGTGGGGGGTGGGGGGGGGCGGTTCCGAGCGGCGGCAGAAAAGGGTTACGCTCCTGTTGCTCTTTTTATCACTACGGGAAAATTAATTACAGGGTGGGAGTCGTAGGCTCGCCCTTACGGATTCGTCTCCCTCGATGGGGGAGGGAGGGGAGGGAAGGAGGGAGGAGGGAGGGAGGGAGGAAGGAGGAAAGAGAGGGAGGGAGGGAGGGTACGAAGGAGGGTAGGAGGGAGGAGGGAGGGAGGGAGAGAGAGAGGGAGAGAGAAAGAGAAACAGACAGAAAGAAGAGAGACAGAAAGAAGAGAGAGAAGAAAGAAAGAGAGAAACACAGAAACAGATAACGATAGGAAGAGGATACAGAACATAAAACAAGAAAGGGCGAAAGAAAATCACAACCAACCACGGACACCAGACAAAAAAAAAAAAAAAAAAGAAAGAAAAAAAAAAAAACCGAAGTAGGCCTTAGGCTGGGCGCGACGCAACCGAAATCAAACGAGTTTACCGAAAGGGTGTTTTACCAGAGGCTCGCGTGATAGCCATCTCATACACGGGCGTCTCGCGTCTCTGGTCAGAGGGAAAGGGGGGGGGTGAGGGGTTAGAGGAGGGAGGGGGGTGAAGGGGTACAGGTCGAGAGGGAGATGGAGGGAAGGAGGGGGAGGAGGGGGTGGGGGGTGAAGGGGTACAGGTCGGGGGAGGAGGGGTGGGGGTGAAGGGGTACAAGTCAAGAGGGAGATGGAGGTGGAAAGGAGATGGGGGAGGTGAAGGGGTAGAGGTCGAGAGGGAGATGGAGGGAGGAGGGGGTGAGGTGTACATGTTGAGTGGGAGGTAGAGGTAGAAAGAGGGGGTAGAGGTCGAGAAGGGGGCGGCAGGGAGGGATGTGAAGGCGTACAGGTCGAGTAGGAGATAAAAGGTAGAAGGGAAAAGGCGTACAGGTGGAAAGAGGGGAGGGGGTAGGTGGGGCATACAGGTCGAGAAAGAGCCGGGGAGAGGGGGGGAGGTGAGGGCGTATAGGTCGAACGGGAGATAGAGGTAGAAGGAAGAGAAGAGAATCAGCACAGGTCGAGAATAAGATAGAGGGGAGGGGGAGGCTGAAGACATACAGATCTAGTGAGAGATGAAAAGCGGGGGGGGGGGTGAAGAGGCGCAGGTCGAAGGTGAGGAAGGAGTATTGGAACAGGTCATCACCACCAATCACTATCCATCACTTTCTCCGAAACGCCAATATCCGTATGGAAATGGGTGGGAAGGAGAGAAAAGAAAAAAAGGAGAAGACGAGGAAGGAAAGGGAGGAGGGAGAAAGGGAGAGACCAGAGGAAGGAAGGTTTAGGGAGGAAAGCGAAGAAGAGAGGAAAAGGAAAAGGAAAAAGAAGAGAGAAATAGAAAAGGAAGAGAAACAGACGAAAGGGGAGAGAGAGAGAAGAGAAACAGACGGAAGGGAGGAATAAAAGGAAGAAGAGAGAGAGAGATAAGGGAGTTTAGTTAAGACATAAGGAACACACCTGGCTGACCGAGGAGACGGGGAGGGGGGAGGGGGAGGGAGAAGGGAGGAACAATATTTGGTATTAATGAACAGGTGGAGACAATACCGACAGCAGGTGAGGTGTAGGTAGGTAGGGGAGAGGGGGTGGGGTGGAGCAAGAGGAGGTAGGGGAGGTAATGTATAGGAAGGAGTTGATAAGGGGGGTGGGTGGGTACAGGAGGGGGAGGTGTAGAAGGGAGGAGGTGGGGTATAAGAAGAGAGGGAGAGGGAGAGGGGAGGGCAGGGGAGGTAATGTATAGAAAGGGACTGATAAGGGGGTGGGGTGAGGTACAGGAGGGGGAGGGTAGAGGGAAGCAGGGGGGTATAAGGGAAGGATAGAGAGAGGGGAGAATAGGGGAGATGACAGGGGTATAGGAAAGCAAGGATGAGATAATGGAGTGTAGGAAGGGGAAGGAAGAGGGGAGGAGGTGTAGCATAGGATGGTAGAGGGGGAGGGGGAGGGGAGGGGAGGAGGGGGAGGGGAGGGGGAGGTGGAGGGGTGTGGTGTAGTCTTACAGGTGGCAATTTTGACTCCCGACTCGGGTGAAGGTGATGATTACAGCGGCAGATGTGAGGCCGACAACACCATCGCCTACAGTGGTGATGATGATGGAGATGATGATGATGGTGATGATGGTGATGATGAGGGCGAAGTGATAGCGCCGGAGAAAGTGATTGCCCGACTTAATAATATCGCTCGAGCGGCGATGACGAGACAGAACGCAGGGAGAAAACAACACTGGAACAATACTGGAACAACGCCGGGAGGAACAGGAGTGAGGGAAGTTGGGAGGGCACTTCAGAACAATCCTGAGCCACGATGGAACAAGGGTGAACGCGATGACTGAAGCAGCAACTGAACAATACAACAAAGGAAAGTAACACGGTCCTAAAATAATACTGGAACAACACAGGCCCTTTGAACAGCAGTAGTACGACACTGGAACAATATAGGCCCCCTGAGCAATAGTTAGAACAACAGTAGAACAAAAGTACTACAATTCTGGAACAATATACCCCTTTGAACAACAGTAGAACAACAGTAGTACAATTATGGAACAATATAGGCCCTCTGAACAACAGTAGACCAACAGTAGTACAATTCTGGAACAATATACCCCCTTGAACAATAGTTGAACAACAGCAGAACAACAGCAGAACAAAACTCGTGGTACTGACCTGAGCCTTGCCCGGGTGCGGGGTCCGCGGCAGTAGGGGGGGCCAGGGGGACCAGCGACAGCATCAGCAGAGGCAGGAGGACAGACAGCAGGTGCCGTGGGGGGCAGGGGGCGCCATGGAGGGGGCAGCGCACCCCCAGGACCCATCTCACCATCCTGCCCACCTCCCCTCACATCTGGAAAGTAATAAACACGACGGAGATTATTATTACAGTCCTGCTATGAGATTTGTGGAATTTCCTGGAACGCGATGGCGGCAACACTCGTCTCGTCTCGTCTTTCGTCTCGTCTCGTCTCGTTTGTCTCTTTTGTCTCGTTTTATCTCTTCTGGTCTGGACTTGTCTTACTCTAATCTCGCTGATCTTCATCTCGTTTTGTATATCTCGTCTAATCTCGCGATATCTCGTTTAATCTTGCGATATCTCGTCCCATCTCGCTATATCTCGTCCTATCTCGCTTTATCTCGCTATATCTCGTCCCATCCCATCCCATCTCGCTATATCTCGCTATATCTCGTCCCATCTCGCTCAATCTCGCTAAATCTCGCTTCGTCTCGTTTCCGCCCGCCTATGCAATGGCCCGGATGATAAACAACAATGACGCCTTCTCCCGCCCCATCTCGCTATATCTCGCTATATCTCGTCCCATCTCGCTATATCTCCTCCCATCTCGCCTCTTCTCGCTTCGTCTCGTTCTCGCCATCCTACCCAATGGCCGGATGACAAACAACAACAGCAATAACAACGCCTTCTGCCTTCTTTATTATCTGCCCCGTGAGTCCGTGTGACAAATATCCGAACGGTTTATTATCTTCCGCGCGACTGATAAAATGCGTCTGTTTCTCTCTTTTGGAAAGTCCCTTGAAAGGCTGTCGAGGAGAGGGAAAACAGCGTAAGGGAGAAGAGGAAAAGGAAGGAAAATAAGAAAAACAAGTAAAAGCGATAATGAATAAACAAATAAATGAATAACGCATACGCAGGCATAACACACACACACACACACACACACACACACACACACACACACACACACACACACACACATATATATATATATATATATATATATATATATATATATATATATATATATATATATATATGTCGAAAGATGGACGATGGAACGCCAATTTTTCGGCCGTAACCCAGTAGCAAACCTGATACCGGTTCCCAGTTGCACCGCCTGATATATTAAGCCACCTATCTAATTAAAATGAAAACCAGTATTTGCTTGTGGTCGAGATTAATCCATTAATATTCTCTCCCTTTTTGAAAAAAAATCTTCCATTCTCCGTTTTTTCTTTCATTTTTCTCCTTTTCTTCTGAGCCTTTCTTTCTTGTTTTTTTCTTTCATTTTACTAAAAAACAGCTGTTCACCTATATATATTCTCCCCCCTTCCCTCTTCTCCTTCCTCCTTCCCCCTTCCCCCTCATCCTCCCTTTTTAAGCCCTCCTCCTCATTACTCAACCCCCCCAACCGCAAGGCCCCACCCCACCCCCCACCCCAACCCCCCATACGTCACGCACACGTCGACGTAAGTCCATCGTCGGTGCGTCACCTTAATTGCATCCGTGACGGGGTGGGGAGGGTCATGACGGTATTCCCCCCTCCCCCCCCCCACCTGTCTCCCTCTTCCTCTTTCTCTCTCTCTCTCTTCCCTTCTCTTATGTATCTCCCTTTTTTTCCTTTCTCTTTCTCTCTCTCTCTCCTTCTCAATCTTCTCTTCTCCTCACTTCTACCCATTCTTCTTCTTTCTTTTCTCTCTTTCCTATTCCCTCATTCCACTTTCTCTCCCTTTCCCTCTTTTCCCCTTCTCTCCCTTCCCCCTTCTCCCCTTCTCTCCCTTTCCCCCTTCTCCCTTCTCTCCCTTTCCCTCTTTTCCTCTTTCTCCCTTTCCCGTTCTCCCCTCTTTCCTCCCCATTCTCCCCCCCCCTGAAAAAAAGGCGAAAGGTTTTGCAATGAATTTTCGCAAATGACTGAACACGAGGAACACCCAGGTTGGCGTACGAGGTCAAACTGACTGATGTGTGGGCGTGTGGTGGAGAGGGAGAGGAGAGAGGGAGAGGGAGAGGGAGAGGGAGGAGAGGGGGGGGGGGGGATAGGGGAGGGGTAGAAAAAGAAATTGAGGAATGGAGGGAGGGAGAGGGGAAAGAGGGAAGGAGAGGGAGGGAGGGAGGGAGGGAAGAGGGAGGGAGAGGGAAGAGGGAAGGAGGGAGAAAGGAGAAATGAGAAGGAAGAAGTCAGAGAGGAGAAAAGAAAAAAGAGAAAGAGAAAAACCAAAGAGAAAACGAAAAAAAAAAAGAAAATCGAAAAAAAGAGCAAGGCCAAAAAAAAAAAAAAAAAAAAGCAAACCGCCCAGACCCCAGATAGTAGGTCGCCTCCGACAGCTTCCCGTGGGCGTGAATCTCCCTCGCCCCGCTCCCCCAATCTTCAAGAAGCAGCATCACTTTCTCGAGACGCCCACGATCGCATCTCCTCCCGCAGTCGCCCCCGTCCAACGAGTTTTCACCCCAAAGCAGCGGCGTGCTTGCAAAGGCGCGCATTCCATTAAACACCTACCCTATTTCCCCTCCCATCTCTCCCCCCTCCACCACCACCATTCCCACTCCTCCCCCATCCAACACCCCCCAGCCCCTCTCCCCCAACCCTCCACCACCCCATCCCCACTCCTCCCCCCATCCAACACCACCAAGCCCCTCTCCCCTAACCCTCCACCACCACCCATCCCTCTTCCCCCCCCTCTACCACCCCATCCCCTCTACCACCCCTCCCCCCCCTCCACCTCCAGCCCCTCTCCCTCTCCTCTCCCAATCCCCTACCCCCCTTTTTACCCCCCCTACCACCGGGGAAAAGCCAACCCGGGGGGCAAATGACAAGCACAACCAGGGCCACCGAAAGCACTCGCAGGCACCAGACATTCCACGAAGAGAAAGGGAAAAAAATATAAATGCAAAAATGGGGGGAAAGAGAGAGAGAGAAAGATTAAGAAGACAAGTAGGAGAAATGAGAGGAAATAACAAGAGGTATGAGGAAAAAATACAAAAGGAGGGGGAAGGAGAGAGAGAGAGGAGAGCAAGATAAGAGACAAGTAGAAGAAATGAGGGAAATAACAGAGGTATGATAAAAAAAATGAAAATACAAAAAAGGAATAAGAGAAAGTTAATTTGGGAGAAATGACGTTTACGTAGAGCTATGATTAAAAAAAATTAATAGGCATAGGAGGAAGGAGAGAAATCAAGATAAGGGATGAATAGGGAAATTAAAGGGAAAAAATTCGAAGGGAGAGAAGGAGAGAAAGATGACGATGAGATAAAATGTAATGAAGATAAACTAAGACAAAACTTGAAAGAAGAGGGGAAAAATAAAAAGGAAAAGAAAAAGAAAGAGAAGAAAAAAAGACGGAGAAGAGAAAGAACGATAAAAAAGGGAGGAGGCCGACCCATCCGGAGAAGCAGCGGCGAGTTTTTCCTGCAAGTCGCCGCCTATAATGATCGGATACTCGAGCGCCCCCTCCCCTTCCCTCCCCCCCCCCCCCCCACCCCCTCTTCCCTCTACCTCCTTCTCCCCCTGCCCCCCTACCTCTACCTCCCTCTTCCCCTGCCTCCCCCTACCCCCTCTTCCCCTTCCCTCTCCCTCCCTACCTCTTCCTACCCCTCCCCTCCCCCCCGTTCGCCAGCCGCTTTCGAAAAAGTCTCCCCCCCCCCACACCGAGAAATTGTGGGCATTTAAGCGGCATCAGGTGTGGGCTTATCTCTCCCCTCAAACTCTCGGGGGCATCGGAACCGCTCTCCCCACCTGGCACGAGACGGCACTTCCTACGCCCTTACCCCCCCCTCGCCCCTCGACCCCTGCCCCCCTCCCCCTTCCCTCCCCTAACATGGCTACTGGCCACGCCTTGATTTATGGCACCCGCGGGTTCCGCTCTCGATGCTCGCGCCGGGTGTAACACGAACGCTGCTGAAGATTCCCGTTAGTTGGCACTCGGTATAAAAAAAAAAATCAATACAAATATACAGTAAACAAATAATAAATAAGTAAAACAGATCATAAATAAATCAGAAATAAATACAAAATTAAAACAAATGAATAAACAAACGGAACAAATAACAACAACAACCAAAATACAAAACAAAATATCACAACCCCTTATCCATTCCCCTAAACCCTATCATCACAACTCCAAAAAAAAAACAACAAAACACACCCCACAAACAAACAAACAACAAACACCTCCCATCCACCCATCTATCGCCACACCATCTATCACTAGCAACCCCCCCCCCCCCCCGCAACTAACTAGCAGAGAAACGACACTAGCAACCCCGAGTGACGCCAACAGCAGCGCATAAACTAGAGTGATCAACGACAATATCAAATTTCTCGCCGCATTAAAACAGGTGACAAACGAACACATTCCGACCTCGTCTTTCTGCCACGTTAAAAGCTCAATAAAATGCTAAAAAGTTCCCAGGGAAAATATATGTATATGTTTGCTACTGTGACTGTAAAGAGGAATAATAAAATATACTTAGAAAGCCTCCTTTACGCGCTCCTAAAATGTCCACAGTTTTTTATTTATATTTGGTACGTAAATTCGACCCGCCCACAAATAAGAATAAAAGGAGGGGAGAGGAGAAGCAAAAAAGAAAGATGTAGAAAAAAGCAGAAGAAAAGGAGAAGGGGAGGAGGAGGAAGGAGGAGGAAGGAGGAGGAGGACGAGGAGAAGGAGGAAGTAAGAGGAGGAGGACGAGGAGAAAAAGGAGGAATAGGAAGAAGAAGATGAGGAGGAGGAAGAAGAAGAAGAAGAGGGTAGGGAAGAATAAAGAATAAGAATAACGAAAATAACGAACATCAAAATAAGGAGAATACAACAAAATAAAATCAAACAAACAAACAAACAAATAAATAATCCCCACCCCACACAAAAAAAACACAAAAAAAACAACAACACCCCTAAAAAAACAATCCACCCCACAAAAAAAACAACAACAACCCCCCTAAAAACCCCCAGAGAAGAAGAGAAACCAAGCCTCGGCCGCGAAGACAAAAGTCCACCCGAACCAGTAAATCTGCATTCACTTCGACGGCGCCCACGAACGCACAATCGCCGCGTTCTGCCTTTAAACGCAACTTCAAAAGCAGGTTTCGTCCGCCTGCTCGCGAAAGGGTTAATCAA